TCTACCTCTAAATATTAAACTAAAAGAACAATTAATTTAACTCGCCTACCGTACGTTTACTTGCTTTATTAGTAGAGATGATCATTTAATCTGGAGATGATCATTGAACCTCTAAAATTAAGCGTATTATTTCATGGAGCAATTCTATGTTAGGTGACCTCTTAAAAAATTTCTTAAGAAATATGTGAATGAGAACAAAACATGCTGAAAGAACTCGATCTTCACTTTTAAAAGTAAGTAATGTGACCATGTCGTAGGGGATGTAAGGGAATGTCAAGGTCAGGTGCCAATTTCAGATTCTAAATTCTAAGCATGAGTTGATACAAATGGTATCAAATCGGTATCTCTCATAATAAGATGTGTTCGGAAACGATTTACACATAATCATATCATATTGAGTTGAGTTTACTAAATTAAGTGGTTTTTAAATGTTATTGTCATTTCATCTCGACATATTTGTCATATCTAACATGTCTCAAATATAACGAAATCAAGCAAACGAGATTCTAGATTGGTTCAAGAGGGGAACAAAGTAATTTTGAAAACATCTCTCTATTAAACGTGTTTTAAAACTGTGAGGCTGATGGTGATACGTAACGAGACAAAACGAACAATATTTACTAGTTGTATGGTTGAACCGTTAAAACTTGGGTTCGGCTTGCGCGTGTGATTTGGATGATGGTATGTAGCATGTCTGAAACTCGAAAACTAAAGTGGTTGTCACAATTACACGTTCCATTAGTTACCCTTGATGTTTTTTTTTTTATTTGGTCTTTGAACTTTTTAAATATGCTTAATAGAATTATAGCGATATAAAATTCTAAAGACACAAATTTATGTGTTTTCGAGTTTAGAAATCTATTGAGTGCAAAATTAAAATTTTAATAATTTAGAAACGGAATGATCTGTCCACTTGATTTGGTTCATCATTAACCGGTTAACTATGTAATAATACTTAAAATTTTAAAAAAATAAATAAAATATTTTTTTTTTCAAAGAAAAAAAAAAGAAAGGAAAGCAGAATGGCACCCACGCAAGTTGGAGAAGATGACCGTACACTTCGGTTAGTTTCTCAACCTTCTTTTTAAGGTATTTGAAGTAAGTCGTTTTTACCGGTTTTATTCTTTTGACTTAATTTAGGTATATTGAGGAATTTTGGAATATTTTCAAAGATTCAAAACAAGCTCGAAAAGTGTACAATCAAGTAAGTAACCATATGGAGCAAGTTTTTAAGAAATACAGGTAGGAGTCAACTAGGATTGAGAGCAATGATTGAGTGTTGTTATCTTTTAGGAGCCTAGTTTGACCTAGTTTCATGATAACTGTGCTTAGATAATGTGAGCACTTACCACTTAGTTCTACTTACAGTTATATAGCTTTTGCATGCATGATTGTGAACTTTGATAGATCATTAGGTTTCTATGCTTTCGAGTATGGTGAGGTTGGATTATTATCACTTAATGAGCATGACAAGCAAGTTGTATGTCTTTATACGTATGTTATGCATGATTTAGGGTTTGGAAGGCTCCTTGTTACCCAGTTATGAGTTGTACTATCGCTATATGTCATAGAGTGCTAGTTGTGGTATCCGTAAACTATGAGTTACTATTTCAGGTGTTTTGGTCCTAGTACCTAATCATGAGTTCCATAGCCTTCTTGGGTTGACTAGGTACCTTGTAGGGACGGATAGGGTGCAACCCTTATTCGTGAACTAACCAATAGGGGTTAGGGTCAACTTGTTACGCATAACTTAGTTGTCACCCATAGAGGATTTCAGGAGTTATAGAGGGTATACTACCGAAGTACTATCGGTGGTGCCTAGTTGGGAGAGCCATGAACTTTTTATTGTTCCACCCCGAATGACGTAGTGATAGATAGTTTTACTATTCTAACCTGAAAAGACAAAGTAACATGTCGTTATTATTCCTAAGACAAGTAGTTTTATTGTTCTAATCTAATGAGAGTACATGAGCAGGTAGTTTACCTTTCTACCCTAGAAAGACATAGTGATATGTATTTTACTGATCTTAAGAACAAGTAGATGTTGCTCGACAACACTAGGAAAAATTCACTGATTAGAGTTCAATAGATAAATATTTATGGAGTACGATCACCTTTTTATGAGTATTACTCTAGGGTTTTTTCATCGGCCACGACAATTTGAGATGCATTTTGCACAAGACAAGGAAGGACCTAGACATACGTGAAACCTAGGGCCCAAAGAAAACAGAAAATCTTTAGGTTGTGAACTTGAGAGCTAAGATTGAGTACTCCTTAAAAGGAGGTATGTGGGTTTAGTGACATACAAAATTTGGTACAGACATTAAGCCACAATTTGGCTATCGCTAGGGACAGTTTTGAGCACATAGCGTAAGTTTTCATGTATAAGATTAAGTCCGACAAGAGCCTACAAGTAGGTTTACTCATTGAGTACTTTTATACTCATTCCATATTATTCTATTTTTTTCAGATGGAGTGTAGACCACGGTTGATGGTGGGAGCATGTGGAGCCATGCAACTACAGGGGGTGTCTTTTAGATCTAGTCTTCTTCCTTCTTTTAGATCTCGAGACTTGTGTATTTTTGTTAACCGTTTTAATTTGGCTCCGCAGATATTACCTTTGGCTAGTGTGAGAAGGCGTGAGCGAGCGTGGAGAAATAAAGGCAAGAATTCGTACTACTGTCTCTGTGGGAGTCTGGGTGTAACAACCCAAGTCCACTGCTAGCAGTATTGTCTGCTTTGACCCGTTACGTATCATCGTCAGCCTCATGGTTTTAAAACGCGTCTCTAAGGAGTGGTTTCCACATCCTTATAAGGAATGTTTTATTCCCCTCTCCAACTAATGCGGGATCTCATAATCCACCTCCTTGGAGGTCGTTGTCTTTGTTGGCACATGCTCGATATCTGACTCTGATACCATTAGTAACAACCCAAGTCAACCACTAGCAGATATTGTCTGTGTTGGCCCGTTAAGTATTATTGTCAATCTCACGGTTTTAAAATACGTCTCTAGGGGGAGGTTTCCACACCCTTATAAGGAATGCTTCATTCCCCTCTCCAACCGACACGGGACCTCACAATCCACTCCCTTGGGAGTCATCGTCCTCATTGACACACCATTTGGTATCTGACAGATGTGGGATCTCACAATCCATCCCCTTTGTCGGGGTCCAGCGTCCTCACTGGCATTCGTTTCTCTCTCCAATCGATATGGGATCTCTCACAATCTACCTACTTTAAAGTCTAACGTCCTCGCAGATATCAAGACTAGGACTTTTAAGGTATCTAATCTATTCGGGTTATGTTTATCAACTTATTGATGCATCCAAATTCAAACATCAAGTTGATAGCACAAATAGCAGCAGTAACCTGATCATCCTGGTCAACATGCTGGCTTGCATTTCATGAACACAGAGCCAAAGCCTCCTTACTATGTGCGCTTGGCTTGAATAAAGCCACAAATTAGAGCATTCCATGACTCAAAAAGCATCTCATTTAACCGCCTCACACCACCTTCCCACTACCAATGTAGTCCATAATGTTAGATGAACACAACTCTCCACACAATAGTATGATATTTTCCACTTTGAGCATAAGTTCTCGTAGTTTTGTTTTGGGCTTCCCCAACAGGTCTCACACCAATAGAGAGAGTGTTATTTGATTATAAACTAAATTAAGTGACGTGGGACTTTCATCATCCAATATATAAAACAATATTTTTATTTGTCATGTTCTCAAATGGTATCTTTCCCGCCTCAATATTCTTACACTTCATATATCTATCCATCAACGCATCGGCAAGTAGAATGGTCAAATTCAAACCGGCCATTTCCTAAGAAGTTGAAATGACTCCAATCCTTCACCGTTATTGTCTACAGCAATAATGTGTACTTTCTTTTTTTATGGCTCAATTATAGAAACTTCAGACTTAAGTGTATTTTGCTTCAACAATTCTATGTTGGATGTGGTAGGACAGCACAACAATTCACAAATGAAAAATAAGAATGAGGTGAGAGAAAACCTAAAGAAAAATATTAGCTAAAGAGATTTTATTTATAATAGGGGTGTACATTCAACCAGACAATCCAACAAACTGAACCAACCCAACTCAAACTTTAAGAGTTGGGTTGGGTTGGATAAGCATTTCGGGTAGGGTTTGGTTCATTTTTCTGAATCCGAACGGAATCGGTTCGGTTTTGAGTTCGTAAGCAAAATTTTCGGGCTCGAGTCAAATAAAAATATATAAAATATATTAAGAATACTAGTGTGTTAGTGGTATTGAGCCAATCTAAGAACATTTGCGTCCGATTTCGACACCATGTAAATACATGTTTCTTTTAATACATCTCTAGCATACATGAAAAATATAAAAAAAAAATATTCATAATATTCTTAATAATCTTAAAAGTACATAAATTAGATTGAGTTATAACTTTATGTTCAACGAACTTGAAAAATGAATCTGTTTATCATAACGAGATTCGTTGTTCCTGACCCTGCTTCACCTTAATTGTTATTTGAACAAGTAAAAGTTATCTCTTGGTCCGAGTGGGGATAGTATTTCTCTTCTGCATGTCCATGAAGTTTTGAAAAATCCAAACATCTCAGAGATCGATAGAGAGGTAGGAATTTATCGAACGAACCGCACTCCTTCGTATACGTCAGGAGTCCATTGATGAGAAGGGGCTGGGGAAAGCTTGAACCCAATTCCTACCGTGATGAATATAAGCGCAATTGAAATTCCTGGGGAGTTATACATTTGTGTATTGAGAAGACCATTTACTATTTCTTGAAGCTCGATCTCTCCCCCGGATGAACCATATAGCCAAGAGAAACCATGAACCAGAATAGAAGAACTTGCCCCACCCATGAGTAAATATTTCGTAGTAGCCTCATTAGACCGTACATCTTTCTTGNAATTATCTTTACAGTTAATTACAAAAGTTTATTTATTTAATTTTTAAGTTAAAATAATATGAAGAAAATTCGGGAAATGGTCACGTTGACATTTCTGGAGGAAAGAAGAAGATTACCATTTGGTCTCTTCTTCGATCTTGATTTTCAGAATCCTTCCACAAAACCCTAAACCCTTTCAACCCTAAATTCAATCTTCAATCTTCAATCTTCAATCCCTTCTCCAATGGCTTCAAATCTCGCTTTCCGGCTGAGATCGCACCTCCTTTTGCGGTCTTCAGTTCGTTTCTTCCCCACTTTGAATAACATTCAATCGTCCGTCATACCCAAACCTCCCCCTCTTATCTCCTCTGCACTTTCCGATCTTCGTCGACTTCCCAAAGAGACCGTCTTCAATCTGTCTGGATTTCGGTTTCTCTCAACTGCACGGCGGAATCCGACCCGTCCCAAACAGGTCGACATCGGAGCTCGGGCAAGGCAGCTTCAGACGCGCCGGCTCTGGACCTATGCTCTGACTTTCAGCTGCATCGCGGGGTTCATCGTTATCGTCCTCAATAATTTTGAAGAGCATCTGCTGTTCTACGTGACGCCGACTGATGCGCTTGAGAAATACTCTGCGAATCCCTCGAAGAATAAGTTTCGTCTCGGTGGTCTTGTTCTTGAAGGCAGTGTGATGCATCCAGCGTCGTCTTCTCAAATGGAGTTCGTGATAACGGATTTGGTCACCGATATATTGGTTCGCCATCAGGGGTCGTTGCCGGATTTGTTTAGAGAGGGGCATTCGGTCGTGGCGGAAGGTTTTATTAAGCCATTTACCGATGAGATAAGAAATGAGGTCTCTACGAAGAGTGTTTCGGGAAAAGCGAGGAGTGGGGAATATTATTTTTCGGCTACGGAGGTTTTGGCAAAGCATGATGAGAAGTATATGCCTGCGGAGGTTGCGGCTGCAATCGAGAAGAACAAGAAGAAGATCGAGGAAGGAGAATTGGGGGCGAATCACGCTTGATTCAATGGGTACAATTGTTCTCAATTCATTTTCTGATATTTGTTTCATTATACATACAACAATATCTCGAGAGGACATGATAAATTGTTGGTAGTTCATATTTAGAATTTGCTAAATCAATATTCTTGTGAGGTAGTTACCCCCTGGATGGGGTGAGAGCAATTGATTTTGTTTCAATCTGAGGCATCTGACTGACATCTTAAGTTTGTCTTGTAATACCAAAATCTTTGGTGATTCCTTATTATTCTGAATAAAAGGAAATTACTTATGGATGTTATGTCCTTTTCGTTTTTGGTCATTTTTTGAGCTGGTTTTGTTATCCTTATCTTCGGATCAGATGTAAGTATCCTTGTTTTTTTGACAAACCACCAGAGGGTGAAGGTGATATGTAATTATCCTTATATTCAGATGTCATAATTTATATTGAAAGTTCTTTCTAGCATGAAACTTATTGAAACTCGATGAGTGCAATACTCACATATGAAAGATGTATTCAGTATGTTTAATAAAACGTGTTATCTTTGCGGTGATATTCAAATTCTTATAGCTTGTCATTACAGTGGTGTATTGTTGTATCCTTGTCACTTTTTTGTGTTTATGGCTTTTAGATTTTGTGGTTGGCAAATGTGAATGCTTTTTTGCAAAGGAGAAAACCTCATTTTCGGTATCTTTCTAATTGTACCTTTGCTAAAGACTTCATATTTACGAGTATGATCTAATAATGGTTCATCCTAGATATGTCTTTTCAATGGGACACTATTGTGGTACAGATTTATCTATTTATTTATATATTAGTTTGTACTTTCTTTTATTCGTAGAATGTCACGACTTAAGATTTTTTTGTTAACCTTCTCTTCTACGTGCTTTTTGAAACTTTAGTTATTATTATTTTTTTTGCCATCTTTTGGCGAAGGTGTCCTTCTAAGAGGAATCGTACCGTTCTTTATCTGTGCCATGGCCGGAATGAAAACAGAGTGAGTCGTCAAAGAAGGATAGCTCCAAAGAAGGGAAGAGTGTCCCTATAACTGATATGGAAATTCTTTTTTCTTTTTAGCAAGAGAGAATGAATGCCATTTTAGAGCAATCCCCTTTGACATTCATCAACTTCACGTATGAGAGTTTCCCACCATCTTTTTTCTTGGAAGGTCTCTCATATTTATACAATTTCTTTTTGTCCTATAAAAGCAATTGTGGTGTATAATTGGTAAAAGAGTTTCTAAGAAGAGGAAGATGCTTTGAAATTTTCATTTTCAATATGTTTCATAACTCCATATTGCTGGGTATATGATTTATTGATAATCGGATGTGCTAATTATGAATGGGTAAGCGTCAAAGTTGTTTTTTCAAGGGTCCACAGAGGCTTTAATTCAATTTCTGTTACTATCTAATACTGTCAGTTTAGATAGAAGAGTATTTTTCTTATTATCATTTTGAGCTTGAGGTTTTGTTTTTCATCTTTTGATATTGCTGCATTGGATCCTATCTGAGAAAGATATTTCTGTGTTGGAATATACATACATACACATATATATTTTTTCTTGAATAATCTGCTTGATGTATGTTAATTGCTTGGACTATTTGAAATAATCCTATAGGTGTTGTCAGGGCATCAGGTGCCAATCTCTATTGTTTGAAAGGTCGGTTGTTCTTCTCCATTACTCTTTCATCACGTTCCGCTGAGCCTATTGAGAATGTTGTACTTTCTTTTTCTGAAGGCTACTCATCATCCTTATTTTTATGCATTGTTTGAGCAATTTTAGATAGATAGATTGGTAGAAGGCAGAAGGATAGACATAGAACTTGGATTCATACAGATAGTGTGATATCCCGTATCGGTTGGGGAGGAAAACGAAGCATTCTATATAAGGTGTAGAAACCTCTCCCTAGCCGACGCGTTTTAAAAAACTTGAGAGGAATCCCGACAGAGAAAGTCCAAAGAGGACAATATTTGCTAGCAGTGGGCTTGGGACGTTACAGATAGACGGATAGAAGGGATAAAGATAGACATATAACTTTGATTCATACCGTTGTATACACGGCTGACTCAAGTGGATTACATGTTTTAGAACCTGGATTACTGATTTATGTTTCTAGTTAATCATCTCGAGACACTCACTGCTAATTGCGATGTTATAATTTGAATTTAATGGCTTTTGTTGATAAGTCTCTAGCGATTAGATCCTTTACAGAAGTCTTTTTCTTCTCTTGGAAGCTTTCATGCAAGTTCTTTGTTTTCTTAGTGTATAGAGTGACTGCAGTGTTGGAACTTTGACAGAAACCCGTTTCTTCTCTTTTTACTTGTCCTTTGTTAGCATTGCCAGATTCCTATTGGAGTGTCTTAATAGTTCATGCATTTTTTATGATCATCCTCTGAAATATATTTTTCATTCTTGGGAAACTTTATGTCAAGAAACAATTCTTTATTGACCTGAGATTACATACCAAAAGCATTTAGAATCATGTCTATATGGCCAGAGGGAAAGAAAAAATAGTGCCAGCACAATGACAACAACATATACATACAAACCATCAAAATCCAATCATACTGATCGATGAAAAAGCAGGAAGATCTGGTATCTAATGCCAGAGAAGTGCAAGGAGGCTGATGAAAATCGATAGCAGAACCCCGCCACTGGAAAATATCACCTGAAATCCAGTCCCAGCATCCATGGCAGGCAACGGTGCAAGTCCTCCACTGTCTTGAGCTCTTGCCACAGCAAGCAGAAGCACCATGGTCGCCATGAACCACCTCATCGCCCCTTGGATGCTGAATCCAGCCATTGTTAGACGCACAGAAACCTTGAAAAGAGCGAGAGGAGAGGAAGAATCAAATTCAAGGTAATATTAAATTGGTGTTGGAGATTGGATTTAGAGAAGCAATATTTATACAGGCATATGGAGATGAATTGGAGATTAAATTGATTGTGATTCATGAATGTTGAGTTTACTGATTGTTATGTTGCTTCTTTAGATGGCGTACAGCTCCTTTTGAGGATGACATATCAGCTTACTTTGCTGCTCACAGGGCCATATAATGCCTCTCCCGCAGCTAACTTGAGTAACTTTGTGGTATAAGGTAAGCATTTTTGTGTGTCTTGTGTTTTGCTCCTCATTCAATTGCACTCTTACCTTTCTACTACTTTCCTTTTAATAGAACATCACTACTTAATAGCTCGTTCGCCAAGTCGGAACTCCCACTTTCTCGTCTATGACGGCTTTCTTCGATGCTAGCAACCTCGTTTGACCCTTTTTCGCACTTACAATTTCCTTGCATTCTAGCTTCAAAAGAGACTTGACCTTTACTTACAGAGAGCTTGTGGTACCACACTCTTCTGTGCTCGTAGGTTGAGCCAACCCCAACTTTGCCAAAATACACTTGCAGTAATTTCCCATGACATATAGTACTAAGCTTTCTTAAGTTTAGCCTAGGTTTGGTTTGAGTATCTTCGGTAGCATATAGTTATAAAATTTTGACCTGAATGACTATTGGTTGAGTTTTATTAACTGTCATATTTAGTTCCATTCTTACATTGATTGAACATTTGAAGATATTGATTTAATTTATAGGGTCGTTACTAATACAATATATATATGCTTTACAAGTAAAAAAAAATTAAGTTGATTTTAGGAGGGAAAATATAGAAACATGAAAATATTTTAACAATATTTTTTAGAAAGTATCATTGGTCACGATGGAAATGAAAATTACATCTAGTTGCTAGAGTTGGGAACCTGTACCCTGTTATGGGTACTATATTCGATATATGATAAAGTTATTAATTATCATTTCAAATATTGATAGTCTATTTAATAAATAAATAAATAATTGTTTTGATGATAGTTACAATGTTATTTAATCTTCTATAAATGTTTATAAACTATTCGTGAAGGATAAATACTTTAAATTTTTTTTGCAATTATAATTCAATGAGAAACTTTAATTTAGTGGCATACCACACACATATGTATATATATATATATATTTAAAATTAGTAGATGAATTAGTTGAATTGAAGCCGTGATGTGAAGTGAGTGACAACTTTTTTAGTGTGAAGTTTTATCGGGAGACTGACCTGTTGAAGCTTTGCTTCTCCTATATACTTGCAACATTCGTGTGTAGGAAATTTTTTTCTTAAGGTAAAGATTTGATCATATCTCGAGATTGAAACTTGTGCAAAGGTATTAGTAGACTAGCAAAGTAGCTTGCGAATTCACAACTGACAAGACAAATCTAGAATTTTTTTTTTTTTTTTTTTTTAACCAATCATCTTGAAACTTTCACATAAATGAAAGGCATTCAAGTAGTTGTTGGTATATCTGATTGGTGCATGAAAAGTACAGATTGACGTCGCCTACTTCAAACACAAATAAAATAGGGATGACTCGTTGAATTCTAGGAAGTTCTTAAATTCTTACGCATTCAATTTTATTAAGTTAAAATTGAAATTGAAAGTTACAAAAATTTAATTGATGAAATTCCACAGCTCATAAGGTTCTCTCTCTCCTTGTCGCATCAATCAGTACTTAACAGTTCTTCCTCCGGACAAATTTTGCCTTCGGCAATGGAGATGGCGCATTACATATATTTCTCTCTTTCTTCCTTCTTCTTCCGCTCTGGGTTTTCTTCAAGGGTTAGGGTTTCTAATCCCCCTTTGTTTTCTTTCAATTTCTCGAACGGATCCTTATCTTTGAGGATTTGGGCTCTGTTCCTTGGTTGAGAACCCTTGTTTCTAAGGGTTTTTCGTCCCATCAAAAGCGGTATGAGAATTTCCCTTCCTTTTATGTGAATTTCCATGTGTTTTCTAAGCATGTATTATAACGTTTCTCCTGATTGATAGTTGGGGATCGAACAACTAGATTACTATGATACAAGTTGTTGTAATGAACTTGTACACATTTGAATATGGATGTTATTTATGAGCGTTGTGATGGATTAGGATCGTTTCGCTCTTGAATTTTGAATGTTCAGTACTGAATCTGTGAGTTGCTGTTGATACTGGTCAAGATTCTCATTGAGATGATTTGGGAAGTGTTTAATTCTTACTTGGATTGTCAAAATCATAGTTTGGTGTCAAATTTTTGTTGTTTTTTCAAGTCCACGAGCATTTTGATCAAGGTTCGGTTGTGGATTCAAGCATCCTACTATCGTTGTTTTTATGCCTCACTACATGTTTTGAGTTGAAAGGTTGGTTTGTATTGATTATCTGTTACTTAGGAGTTTATATGTTCAAGTTTTTCCGATGAGTATGGATTTAACTGAAGGGTGTTCTAGATATGAAGACTGGAAATTATGGCCATGTTTCTCATTGTTGGCATGAAGCTATAAGATCATTGATGGAATTTGTTTCTATCACTATAGTGATTTGTAAATTAAATCTTTTGATTCTTTTGATCCTCTCTGGCTATCTTGGTTTCGGCTGATAATGTAGGAAAGCTAATTTTGATACTAACGTTGTACTTATGTTATAATGAATAACCAATAATAGCCCAAGTTCATCGCTAGTAGATATTGTCTTCTTTGGGCTTTCCCTTCCGGGATTCCCCTCAAAGTTTTAAAATGTGTCTACTAGGAGAGGTTTCCACGCCCCTATGAAGAATGCTTTGTTTCCCTCTTCAACCAATGTGGGATCTCACAATCCACCCCCTTGGGTTCCCAACGTCCTTGTTAGCATATTGTCTGGTGACTTGCTCTGATACCATTTGTAACAACCCAAGCCCACCGCTAACAAATATTATCCTCTTTGGGTTTTCTCTTCTAGGCTTCCCCCCAAGGTTTTAAAACAGGTCAACTAGGGAGAAGTTTCTACACCCTTATTAGAAATGCTTCGTTCCCTTCTCCCACCGATGTTGGATCTCACATAACCTTTTATGACTTGTTCATGCTTTTCTTCTCTTCTATAATTTATGATTTTAACCTTATTGCAAGTTTTTCATTTTCAGACTTGTAATAATAGCTTCTGAGACCGAGGAATTAGATTAGCCTAAGAATCGTTCTTAATCTTTTCATATCCCTAATTAATTTCAGTACCAGTACCTTAAACATACATGAATAACATTCTTTGTTCATTGGCATCTGTATGGTTATAGAATTTGATATCTTCAAGCTCTTCACTTGATAGTACATAGTAATAGTAGCTGTATTTGGCTAGTAGCCATGGCATCATCTTGATTCCTAGTGCAGTCTGCCTATTAAATGAAATTTATGTGTAGTTTTTGAACATGTGTATCTGTCTGTTTCCCAACCAAAAAGAAAAGAAACAAATTCATGTGAATGTGTTGCAGGAGATTAAGAACATGGAACATGATGAGGCAAGCTGTCAAGCTCCCCCTGAGGGTCCCCTTCTGTGCATCAACAACTGTGGCTTCTTCGGAAGTGCAGCTACTATGAATATGTGTTCTATAAGTGCCACAGGGATTTGATGTTGAAACAAGATCAGGCTAAACTGAGTGCGTCAACTCTTGGAAGTATCATGAATGGATCGTCTAGTTCTAACCGAAATGAACCCTTTGTCACCGCGGGTGTCGATGAGCCAGTTAGTTTGGTGGAGCCTAAGATCTCCTCAATGCACGCATCTCCTGTGGTTGTTTCTGAAGGGAGCAGTGGAGTGAAGCCAAAGGACAGACCCAAACGTTGCAACAATTGCAACAAGCGAGTTGGATTAATGGGATTCGACTGTCGATGTGGTAACGTCTTCTGTGCCATGCATCGTTACTCCGACAAACACGATTGCCCTTTCGATTATCATACTTCTGCACAGGATGCGATTGCTAAAGCCAACCCCATTGTGAAGGCAGAGAAGCTCGATAAGATCTAGCGCAAACCAAGCTAAAGGGCTGGATGGAACCTTTTAATGCGTCGATCATCGTCTACATCATCACCTAGATGATTTCTGCTTTGTTGCATGCATATCTTGTAACCTGTTGCAATGTGTAGGAATCGGTATTTTTCTCGTTCTTGCAACGGTTTAATGTTGTCATCATAAGCATGTTTCGTGACTGTATTGTGTCATAAAGTGTCTCGAGGAAGATGTATATGATGCATACTGCCCATGTTTGATTTGTTTGTAAGCATCAGTTATGTTCTAAAAAGTTCAAAAAACAATACAATTGTTCTTTCTTGCAACACTAGGAACAACAGCAGAATAGCCAGGGCTGCCCACGAACATAATATTTAACATGTTTCTGAAAAGTTCTTAGAGAATGAAGGCCATTTTACTCACAATCTATAAATAAGCAACCAAAAGCTAGGAAGGATTCCATATAATCAAATCTCATCTTCTCAAAATTTGGGGAGAATCTTAACATGATGTTCTCTGTTTCTCCTTGAGAATTATTGTTAAGAACAGCTCTAGAAATAGCCCATATTCTCACAGATCACTTCGAACTTGTAAAAGTTAGATTGTGAGGCCGCTAGATTCAGCTTCAAGATACTTACAAATCCTCTCCATCACTTCTCTACCCTTGACACTGTTCTGCACAAACCGCTCTGCGCACCGTTGCTCGACTTTTTCAGCCATCGATGCGAGTGCTGACAATGGCTTGATTCGAATGCTAGTCTCCTGTCTGCAAATTGTCCATCCGTTCGGATTATCTGGGTGAGGGTCATACCTGATTTTCTCCACCACTTCTATGAATTTCTGGAGACTGATATTCCGAGTGGTGAGTTGCATCGATTGCGACCAAGCATCTACAACCGTGGATTCGACACAGTGGCAGATATCCTGACCAACGATCTTACGGATAAACCATGGTCCAGGGGCATGGATGGTAATAGCACGGGTTGTATATAGCTTCCCGGATTCAGGGTCAACCTTTCTGTTTAAGGTGTCAACTTCAAGAATATGGGATAATGTACGCTTGTTTTCGGGGTCGGTAAATTTACGCCAAGATGCACAAGTGACCCGTTCCCACGGGTGCTTGTAAGTGTACTCCTGAGAGTATGCTCTAACCATCACACTGTTCTCTGATACCTTCAACCCTCTTAATGGCACAGTTAACTAGTCTGCATATGAACAGACCGCTAAATTAATCGAACGCCTATTATTCACAGCTTAAAGTAATCATATGCTTACTAATTCAACCGGAAAGGAATTGAAAAGGGAAAATAAAAAACGTCAATGAAAATGATGGAAAAAGGAGAAAGCACATGAAATGTAACAGAAAAGAAAAACATTATCCATCATATAAGACTGACTACATGAATAAACTAAAGAACTTGAACATTACAGATGCATAAATCAAATCATATAGGGAACAGTAAACTTTAATTTTATCAAGTCATTGGGTTTTGCCCAACCCAAAATTTCTTCAAAAGTCATAATAGTTCATTTGCAAAAACAAATTTTCTGCAAACTGTAGTTTTTTTCTTTTTTCTTTTTTTTTTAAAGGGAGGTGTTGCTTCTGAAATCAAATTGACCTACATAAGTTACGAGAAACCATTTGTAACGGCCCAAGTTCGACGCTAGCAGATATTGTCCTCTTTGGACTTTTCCTTTCGGGCTTCCTCTCAAGGATTTTAAAACGCATCTGCTAGGGAGAGATCTTGTGCCCAAGCCTACCACTAGCAGATATTTTGAGTCTTCCTTTTCAGGATCCAAGGTTTTTAAAATGCGTCTACTAGGAAGAAGTTTTGTAA